GCAGGGTAATTATCGATTGGGTAATTTTTCTGGCAATTTGCAGCCAGGAATTCGGTTACGTTGAACTGTTCCAAGCCCATAGATTCCCTGGGTGCGTAAATAAGCCAATAAAGGAATAGTTCGAAGAAAATTCTGTAGTTCTTGAAAAGCGGAACTTTACGAGCAAGCCGCATCACAATATTTGCTGCTGCTCCCAAGTCTGGTTCATTGTCCAAAACATGGTATTCGCATCATCATTTGTCACTATATGGAAATCGGGATCGTCTAGACTTTCGTCGTCAAATCTGATATATCGCCAATTTCACTTATTGACCATTCAAAATTATTGACGAATGCTTCAAACTCTTTAGCCGCGGTAAAATCTTTGTATTTACGTGGCATTTTTCTATGAAAAATTAAACATTTACACTAAAATTAGAAAAAGGCGCTAAAGCACTAACGAATTTCACTTCTCTAATGAGTGCCTACTGGTTCTTTGAAGGACCGAAGGACTTTTACACGAAAAACACCAACAAAAAAAATTATATTGCTAAAAAGATAATTACATGGTTTTAATATAGTGCACAAATAATAAAAATTAATTTTATTTGGTTCTTTTGGAGCAAAAGTTTTGATTTCAATCAATTTGAAAAAGCACGACTTGTTCACTTTGAAGCTTTTGTGTGTTTTTCTGATAAACGTCAAAAATCAGGTGTTCAGCACCGAAAAGCATATGATTTTCTTTTTCGCTATATGGCATACATTATAAAGAGAATATTTGCTGAATAAACATTGCGCAAAAAATGTAACAGTTTTGAAAAACAAGTCTCTGAAGTTGAGGTTCCTGAAGGGACCACCAGGCTATTAAGGGTTAAGAGCGACTCTACCAGTGCACCCATTACTTTGCAGCGCCAAACTCACAGTTTCTGAATGTCAGGTTTTATTTATTTTTGTTCTGATCTCCTCAGACGTGCAAAACTTTGGCATGGACATTTTCAAAAAAATTAACAATAAACAAGTTAAAAAGCAGTAAGTTCGGCCTGTATATAGGGAGGTACCGTTATATCGGAGCTGTGCGAAAACCTGGACCAGCATAGATACTTTTCAGTCACAGGCTATAGCATCCATTACGAACGTCAAATACGACATCTCAAACAATTTCGGTGGGTATTGTACCTAAACTCGTAAAAATACCGAATATAGGGGAGGTACTGATATATGGGGCCTATACGAAGACCTGGACCTGCACAGAAAATTTTCTGTATTAGGCTGTGATATCCATTACGAATCTCAAATACCAAATTTGAAACAATTCTGGTGAATAATGTCGCTAAAATCATCAAAATACCGAATATGGGGAGGTACCGTTATATGGGGGCTATATGAAAACATGGACCTATATGGCCCATTTTCGAACTTAACCTGCCTGCGTAGACAAAAGACAGATTTGTGGAAAAATTACGCTTCCTATCTTAATTCGGACGGACTAACGGACAGGGCTAAACTGTCTTAGAACTTTACGCAAGAATAAATATACTTAAATTATTTCGATGAGCTACAAACGGAATGACGAACTTAATATACCCTACATACTATGTATGGTGGAGGGTATAAAAATAGTACATAAGGTAAGTGTACCAGTAGTCGGCACTTTTAGGATTTTCAATCTTTCAACATTCTGAGTAAAATCTTTTAATTGCAGAAAAATAAAGTTTTTCATATTCCAAATTCCAAACATAAATTGAATTTGTTTTTATTAAATTAGCAAAACTAGCAATTTTACTAAAATAGTAGTTTTTTTTTTTGCCAGTAGTCGGCACCATTTTCCATTGCTCGGCATGTCTATTTGCCAGTAGTCGGCATATGGAATTTCAGTAAAAAAAAAATATTATTTTGTATATTTTTTTATTTCACAGTTTAATCCAGAATTTGAAATTAATTTCATTTTTAAATAGTGTTTTATTTAATTATCATTCTAAACCAATTATAGGTAGAAAATCAAGAATAGTATGATTACCTTCAGTAACGTATTGATTTTCATTTAAAATAAAAATGGGATTAAATAAAAAAGTACCTTTCTTATATTTGGAATTTGTGAATTGTTCTTTTTCCTTTAGATAGCCAAAATGTTTTTCAAAAATGCCACCGCTATCTAAAACGTCAAATACCGTTATTCTCTCGTAATAAATGATAGGAACTCATTGTTTTTTTTTTTACAGAAAGAGAGCAGAGAACACTGTTGACGTTTTTTTGCAATCATTTCATTATTTGGTTAATTCTATTCTTAGTTATTTAAGTTTAAATATCAAAACTGCTGAATACTGGGACATGCCGAACATAGGCGCACTTACCCTACATGCGATAAAAAAAAAACTGCAGCAGAGTCAAAAGCCTTAATTTTACATTTTTTTTTTAAATTTTATTGAATGAAAGCAAACAATGTCGGAAATAGCATCAAAATTTAGAATAAGTTTAGATTTGTTCGAATTGGTCAACTATGGCCTTCAAACGGCCAATGAAACCGTCACATGCTGCCCGTATGTTGCTCTGCTGTATTTTGGCCCATTCCCGGCGAAGCGCTTGATTGAGGTTATCGACAATTTGGTATTTTTTATTGCCAACCTTGTTTTCCAAAATACTCTAGACACAATATTCCAACGGATTGGTATCCGGCATGAATGTTTTCTCATCGGAGAAAACCAAATTCGGCAGTTCACCACTTTCGGCCAAGCGAAGCAACTCTGTTGCGGTGTAAATTCTTGCACTTTTTGGAATTTCGAACTCATTTTTCAATATTTGCCGAATGGAATATTGCGATATGTTTAGCTCACGGGCCATTTTCGGCCACTGTGACGCGGGGTTTCGATCAAGTCGCTTCTTTACTTTTCGAACCATTCGAACTGCTGATGTTGCTGTTTTCTTCCGTCCACTTCCTTGACGTCGGGTTACGCTACCAGTATCACGGTAACGAGCGATGGTACGAGACACAAAATATTTATTCACATTTAAATGCTGGAGTGCTCTAACGACAGCCACTTGTGGTTTTCCAGCCAAATATAAAGAAATCCCAATATCACACATGATTTCCATCACGAATAACTTATTTTGTGGAAAATTCTCACCAAAATGTTTTGGTACGCTTGTAAACAACATAATGAGCTGTCACTGGAATAATTTTAACAGCTGTCGGACAGACAAGTGGCTTGGAAATGACGGTAGTCTGAAGTTGGTTGCAGTTTTTCATCTCATCCTTTATGTACTTTACTCATGTATTTCACAACAGAAATGGCATCTGGGAAATTTAGAGAATGAAAACTTTGCCGTCTAATAGCATCTTTAGTAATACCAACAAACCCTTAACATTCGTACGCACTATTTTAGTAACTTTATATAAATTGAAGATGAGGCTTATATATTTTTATGTCCGCCACCTTGAAAAGGAGGGTATATTAACTTTGTCATTCCGTTTGTAACATCCCTAAATATTCGTCGTAGACCCCATAAAGTATATATATATTCATAATCAGCATAAAATTTTAAGTCGATTTAAGGATGTCCGTCTGTCTGTTGAAATCACGATACAGCCCACATTATTTGACCTAGAGCGTCAAAATTTAGCAGAACAATTTGTATTGTGTCTGGGATGGTTGGTATTGAAAGTGAGATATATCGGTTTTTGGTATAGCCCCCATATAACAGTATCTCCCGATATTCGATATTTTGACGATTTTTGCCACTTTTTCTCACGGATTTGTACGAAAATTGGTATTTGTAGGTCATAATGAGTCGTAGTTCGAGTGACGAAACATTGCATGTATTTGTCAAGGAATTGGTATTTTTGTGTCCTAGTGTGTTCTAGCTCCGTTGGCGAAACATTGTATGTATAGGTTTACGTTTTTGTATGGCCCCATATAGCGGTACCTCCCGATATTCAATATTTTGATGATTTTTACTACATTTTCCCAAGAATATGTCTAAAAATTGGTATTTGTGCGTCATAATGGGTTCCTATTTTTCCTTTACCCCAAGGTGGAGGGTACTAAAATGTTTTTCACGTGTTATACCCTCCACCATACTATGGAGGGTATATTAACTTTGTCATTCCGTTTGTAACTCCTCGAAATACTCATGTCAGACACAAGAAAGTATATATATTTTGATCAGCGTAAAGTTCTAAGTCGATTTTGTTTGTCCGTCTGTCTGTCTGTTGTAATCATTTCGAACGAATTGAGATAGAAGGCTAAAATTTTGCACACATGTTTATTTTTCCAGTAGGCAGGTTAAGTTCGCAAATGGGTCATGTAGGTCCACGTTTACATATAGCCCCCATATAACAGTACCTCCCGATATTCGGTATTTTGATGATTTTAGCGACATTATTCACCGGAATTGTTTCGAATTTGGCATTTGAAGTTCGAAATGGATTTACAGCCTAAGACAGAAAATTGTTTGTGCAGGTTCACGTCTTCGTATAGCCCCCATATAACAGTACCTCCTTATATTCCGTATTTTGAGATGTCTTATTTGAAGTTCGTAATGGATGCTACAGCCTACGGCAGAGAATTGTCTATGTTGGTCCAGGTCTTCGCACAGCTCCGATATAACGGTACCTTCCTATATACGATATTTTTGGGATTATAGCTACATTATTCACCGTTTATTTCAAGTTTCGAATTTGAATTTGGTAATGATTTATGACAAACCTATGCCTATGTAGATCTACATCTTATAGAAACCAATATAACGGCTATATTTTTTAAAATTTTAAGAAAATTTTTTTGAGGATTTTAGGGAAGGTATTCAAAGTTCGGCCCGGCCGAACATACTGCTTTTTAATTGTTTTTTTTATGTTTTTCGACGCGTCTTTATAAATCACATTAAAATGCATATTAAGGTATCTGGCAACCCTATGCAAAACATATAAGGAACACCGAAAGAAAATGGTGGCCAAAATATGACAAGTTACAAATTTGATTTTATTATTTTAAATAGATGTTGTATATAAAATAATTCAAACTTACCTTTTTCTTCAATGAAGGCCGAACTCCGTTAAAGATGTCAAAATAACAATTTGATTATTTTTTGTATTAAATAATTGAACTTAATGTTAATGCGATTATTTGCAAAATAACTTGGGATTTTGATTAAAATTTTTATTTTGTTTTCAATTGGACTTTTTGCAAGTAATGATATGATACACCTTTTGGTATTGATAATTTTCTAAAAAACTTTCTTCTTATCAAAGAAAAATAGGTAGATTTTTTTATTTATTTATTATTTTTTTCTTAAGAGAACACACTTTATTATTATAAAATATTCTGGATTTATATTAGAACATTATCTCAATACAATTGGATTATTTTTTTTTATTTTTGCTTTGATTACTTATGTTCACTTTCATATTTCTTTCTTATCACTTGAATAAAAAAAAACAATTAACAAGAAAAAAAACTTGGGTTTTTTCTATTTATTTGCTGGGCTTTTTGTTTATATTTATCAATAATACAATTTCTTGTTAATAATTCTTCACACAATTCGCTTTGTTTCAAACGGGGGAAAAAGGCAAAAGAAATCGCCAATTTCGTTTGGTCAGAAAAGAAGAAAAAATAATGTGTGGCAAAGGTGGCGAACTCTTTCTCTTGCTCTCTTTTTGTTTGGTTTGACGAAAAAAAAAATCGCCAAAACTACACTTTTTTTCTCCAAATAATACCAAGTTGGGTAGTAAAGAGAAATGTAAATTTTATAACCGTTATTGTTATAAAAGAAAGAAAGTAAAGATGCTAAATATTTCTTCTTTTCCTTTGAATGAGGTTTCGTATCGTTGTTGGCTAGAAGATGGATGTTCTCTCTTCTTCTTCGTATTTTGTTTGTTGTTGTTGTTTAGCTTTTCTAATTTGTTTTAATTTTTGTTTTTGTTATTTTGTTTTTCATTAGTTCAGCACACACCGTGTTGACCGAGCACAAAGTTTATAACAAATTGAATAACAATTCCAAACGTGGAAGACAAAATGAGCGGAATGGGGCACACGGCAGCAGGCACATCAAAAAAAAAGACAGCTGTTTTGCTTGACGTTGTTTTTGTAATTTGTTTGCTGCGGCGGCTGTGGTAGTTGTTATTGTTATTATTTTTCTCGAAAAGTACAAAAAATTGTATTTGGTTTTTGTTTTTCGATTTTACAGAAGTAAAAGCGTTTCTAGCGGCGTTTTAGTCTTACGAGTCGAACATGTGACGAACAACTAACGAACGAACGTTGGTTTTGGTTACGGTAAGAAATCGCACAACGACGACCGAGACTTGTAGGCAGGGAGGCCGGCACATCACACATGTACACACAGACACACACGCACACACCAATGCATTAAACTACAAAAAAACAACAGCAACAACAGAAGCGGCACTGAGAAAAATAAACTTGAAGAAAGAAGAATCGGCTCTCTTAATTAAAAACCAAGTAAAAGTCATGCCACACACACACACTCACTCCCCACAAAAAATAATCACCATAGAATTTGCCAAAGCAAAAACAAAAACGAACATACCTATGCACATACATACATATCATCGAAAGAAGAAGGAAAGCAACTTTTGTCGAAGAAGAAGAAGCAGAAAAACAAGCACAAATTGTGGCGGGCAAGAGGCAACTTTTGTGTAGAAATAGAATACAATAAAGAAACGGAAGAATATGGTAATAAAATTGTTGTCGCAGCAAACATAAAACACACTCGCACGCACACATACATCATGTCTACCTCACTCGCTCTCGTTTCTTCAGCAACTAAGTGGGGTAGGAGAGAATAACTAATTGGCGCTCTTTTCTCCACAAGTTATGGTTACTCACTGTGTTGGGGGCTCTCAACCCACGTTGTTATGATCAATGGTAATGCTAATATAGCGATTTTTTTTAAAACAGAAAATGTATGGAAACGTAAACAGAATTTTTTGGAATGGTACAACTATTTGAAAGAGCTACGTTTCTGGTTTTATGAAAATGTGACATAAAAACTTATGTGAAAACGATTAATTGAGAGTGATATAAAAGAAATTACAACTCTATATGAAATTCTGTTCCAATTTTCGAACCAAAAAAAGCGTTCTAATACGAAAAACAAAAAAAATTGTTTTTTGTCGACAATGTAAAAAAGTTTCTCCAAAATTTAAACTTAAACATTACAATTAGCTTAAGCAAACCTTTTTACATAAAAGCATCTGGATTCCAACGTCTTCCACTTTAATCTACAAATACCAGTAAGATCGGTTGGACCATGGCACAATATGAAAGGTTGTTGAACTTGAAAGAAACTAGGAAAATGCAACTCCGCATTGGTTTTGTTTACTTTAAAATTTTCACAAAATTACTATATTGAGATATTGGGGTTTCTCCAAGAAATTGAAACCAAGATAGAGGGACAATATTGTTTCATAGTTGCCTGTTAATGTTGAATGAAGGATTATACAAATACCGAATATCGGTGGGTACCTTTATATGGAAACAGTGGACAAAAATATGGAAAATGTTTTGCCGCATGTTGCAGAACCCATTTTAACCAAAATGTGGTTAAAACCACCAAAGTACCGAATATCGGGAGGTGCCCTTTATTGGGGGTATACTAAAACACATACATTGTCCTGCCACCGGAGCTAGAAACCATAAAAATACCGAATATCGGGAGGTACCTTTATAAGTGTGCTATACCAAAGTCTGGGCCGTTCACAAAATCAAATTAAAGAAAAGATAGCTCGCAGTAAGACAATTCATATCAACCGAAATGAAACAAGTAAAATGGCAGCTAAGTTCGGCTGGGCCAAACTTTTAATACTTTGGAAAAAACTTGAAAATTTTCAAAAAATTCCGCAAACTAGCTTGTAGTACCCATTAAGATCTTCCAATGTGAAATTTGAAACGATTCCGTTCAATAATGTTGCTGAAATCATCAAAATACCGACTACCAAGAGTTACCGTTATATGGGGGCTATACGAAGACGTGGACCTGCATTTTTGTCATAGCCTGTAGTACCTATTACGAACATCAAATACGAAATTTGAAATAATTCCGGTAAAATCATGAAAATACCGAATATCGGGAGATACCGTTATATATGGGCTATACGAAAACGTGGACCGATATGGCCCATTTACGAGCTTAACTTACTGGTAAACTATGCATTTATGCATAATTTTAGCCTTCTATTTCAATTCGTTCGAAAGATAAAGTGATTAAAACAGACGGATTGCTAGATCGCCTTAGAATTTTACGCTGATCCAGAAAAAAAATATACTTTGTAGGGTCTATTATGAATATTTCGAGGAGTTGCAAATGGAATGACAAAGTTAATATACCCTCCATAGAATGGTGGAGCGTATAAAAATCAGCATAACGCTTGTCACAATTTCAATTACCAGCGTCGTTTTTGATAACTACCTTCCGACAATATTCGAATGTTGGCTTCGTTTGGCACACTTGTGGGCTTTATCCGATCATGAAGATATGGAGAGATTTGAACCAAGCGTCGTTAAGTCTGAAGTAACTAAAGCTGCTGATATTCTAAAAGGGGCAGACACATAAAAAGCCTTTTCTCACTGGCTTGAGTCAACGGCTGCCTCCTTCGTAAAATAACAAAGAAGTTATAGGTTCACTAAGATTAATCTCTGTCATAATTTATACTTTTTCCGTTTAATCGAAGCGAAAACGTCAGACTTCTTTTACATAAATAGGTATGGAGTTATTTTTAAAAATATTTGAAAAAAAATCTGGGTTGGTCATTTTGCCATGACGAACCACATACGTAAAGAACAATGCTGTCAAAAGTGAAATTTAACTTACGTGGACTGGAAGAATCACATTTAACAGAATAGGAAAAATATTCGAATATACATAAATGGATGTGAATTCCTACGCAATCTAGGAATACTGGTATATTTGTCCCCTCACTTTGCCAACCCAACCTTGATCCCTCTCTCCCCAATCTAAACACATTAATTTTAAAGGGACTCTGTTTCCACCTACAGTAACCTTAGGCCGAACGACTTCGCATTTCACCTCTCTTGTATCTCGAGGTAATCGTACACTCACAAAATCTCCCTGGCGTTGGGAATCTTTACAAATCTGTTAAATTAAATACTAATCTACATTTTACTGATTAAATCAGATGTTTCGACCATCAAATTATTAGTTTTCTTTCTCTTCCCCAAATTAGTGACTTTTTTTTTGTCACAGCATTAATATTTAGTAAATAATATTATCTCTCTCTTTCACTTTACTTTAAATCACACTTAAGGGGTTGGGCTCTTGATCTCTCATAGCCATCACACCGATACGTATTTTAAAGACTATCTGGTTTTTGATGGTATTTTTGGTTTCTTTCCTTCTCAGATCAATATAAGCTGAATTATTACCAGGATTACATGCCATCAGGATCGGCTTTCAGACTCTGAAATTTGGCAATATTTTCATTATTCATAATTTATTTTTGCTCACAGTTTTTAGTTGTTATTTTTTCGGTAAGTTAATTGGTTCTTTATAATAGGACCTTACTGAACGTTTCATTGAACTGATAATTTGCTTCGAAATCGCTTTTTAATTGCCTTTAAAATTAATTACCAATTGAAACATCATCCAAAAGCACACAGTTGACATCACTCCATTCGTACCACAATCAACAGCAACAAACATATGAAAACCAACACCAAATACCGGTAAACACTTTTATTTCCATTATCTTCAATGTTTGGTGAGAGGTTGTAATACTCTTTCTCTTTTCAAAACCCCCCAACTCTAAATGCAAACACACGAAAACTAGATCATAGCCCAGTAAATAATTTTTGCCGAATTCGGTCCGATTTCTGTCAGAATCTCTGAAAAAATGTCCGATTCTGATTCCGAATTCCTTCCGATTTCGGTACGAAAGTTGTATGGACGTGGTCACCGAATTCGGAAAGATTTTCTGAAAAAAATCTGAAAAAATATTAGATTTTCTGGACGAATTCGGTCCGAATTCGGTGAAAATTCTTGAAAAAATAGGAGAAAAAATTAGATTTTCGGAAAAGATTCGGAGGACAACTCCGAATTTCTGAAAGAAATCGGGCAGAATTCGTCTGGAAATTCGGCGGAATATTCAGATTTTCTGAAAGAAATCGGTCAGAATTCGAAAGAAAATTCGGAATAAAATTCAGATTTTCTGAAAAAAAAACGTTCAGAATTCGGGAGAAAGTTCCGATTTTCTGAAAGAAATCGTTCAGAATTCGGAAGAAATATCGAAAAAATCGTCACACCACTTAAAAATGAAAAAAAAAACACACATATTTATTTAAAAAACAAACAATTTATTTCGGGTTTCGTAAAAATGTAGTTTAAATATTACATCTATAATACATTTACATTATAAATATTATTTTTATTAGGAACATAACATACAGTAGCACGTTTCTGTTTCAACTGCTAAACAAGAACTAAAAATAAAAAGCAGTGCACACAGAAAACCGGTATGTAGTTGTTTTTGCAATTTTTTTCCATCATATTTTTTTGGGAACGGAAAATCTAACAGTTCACAATAACAATAACAAATAGCATTTTTGCTTTGCGCTTTGCGCTTTGTTGTTGAGATCTTGAAATGAATGATCACAACAACAACTACTATGGGAGAGAATGTGTCAAACCACCACCATCCGTTTACATGTGGGAGAGAATATGCCAGAGCAATTGACAATCTACTCTCTCCGTTTGTACATTTTTCGAGTTTTTTTTCGCTTAAAAACACAGGAAAATGTGCAGAAATTCTAAAAAAAAACGTTTAGAAAATCGGACCAATTTCTATCAGAAATTTCTGAAAAAAACGTCAGAAATTTCGGAAAAAAATCTAAAATCAGAGCAGTCGGAAAAAATTGTTTACTGGGAGATGCCCAATGTAATAGTATTGGTGAGAGCGACGAAATAACACTGGAAGAAAAGATTTTTCTATTCATTTTATTTAGTCGTCAACGAGATAGCGACGAAAGCACATGTGTGGCGGGTGTCGTCATTTTTTTATTTTTCTGGGAAATGTAAAATTAATGAATGTACATATTTTAGTAATACTCTTGATAAATGCATTTATTTTAGTAAACTCTTGATGAATTTATATACATTTTAAATTGTTTTTCTTTTTCTTCCCCCTGCAAACAATTCATGTCTTTATGAACAGTTTCAAAATGTTTTTTTAAATTATATTTTTTATTTTTTTAAATGTCTTATAACATATAACACATTTCA